ACGGCCAAAAGCCCATGTCCCTGCCTACCTCTTCCAACTCCTAGCTTGAGATGCACACCAAGAGGATTCTCTAGCCATCCTGGGGACCACATTCTTATTTGTGATCAAGCCCAGGACAGGGTGCCAAGGATACCAAGGGATCAGGCTCTGACTGAACACTACAGCATACCTCCAACACCAGAGTTCACATTGCTCCTAGGAAGGGTTGGCCAGGTCTAACCAGGCTATGACCCATGACCAGACCCAGGAAGGGTTTCAGATCAATTATCTCCATGTTGGATATGGTATCCCAGGACAGTCAGGAGCCCATGGCAGTGGTTTATACCCCAGCTCTAAGTCCCAGCCTGGCAGGCAGAGGGTCAGACTGAGGTTGTGGGAAGTCAGCCACACCTCCAGTTGCTCTAAAACATTGGCTTGAGATCAGGAGTCAAACCAAGGCTGTTCAGCACAGCAATGGTCATGCTTTCTTTGTCCTAAGCCATGGATGGGAAGTATCTAGACACTTGGGCCATTTCATAAACCAGCTTCAAAATGGGAGAATGTAGGAGAAAATTACCTTCCCCAAGCTCTCCCTTGAGGTAGCCCCCACTTGAATATTAGCAGTTCTAGCCTGTCTGACTTCCACCATAGCATGCCATACTCAGACTGGGCAACCATACCAAGTTGTCTTCCATGAAGCTCTGGATATCAGAGCCTAGGACCATGTGAGACTTGGGGAAACCATATGGTACACCTGCGTACAAGCAAAAAGCCTGGCTGACCATCTTTTATGCAAAATGCATGGGTTTTTCTGTGTCTGTGACCTAGAATCTTGGTTGGAGGCTTCCACTACACCCACCTAGATACCCACTCACTTGCTCTTGGGCCCCCAGCCCCTGGGGCTCATCTGGAGACAGCACATTCCAAGGAAATTACAGGTAAGTGGCTAATGACCTCTGATTATGGGTAGGAATGGGAAGAAAGAGCAGACAGACAGACGCAGGTGGTGTCAGGCTCAGAGACAAGGCCCACCCTGATCCTGGCTACCTGCCCAGGCATCGCTCTGTAGAGCTGGCCTCCGATCACTGTCTCCTCATCTCTCATCTCCTCTTCTCCATCTGTCTCTTTGTGGGGCCCTACTTTCCATTCTTTGAGTCTCCATCTTGAGTATCAGAGCCCCTACAGCAGTCAACAAGACCAAAAAACAAAGCTGAGACCCTTACCCTGGGCAGGGAGGCCCTGCATGTGGCTCAGGAGAGTCTGGCTGATGCTGTCCATCATACAGGGTGGTTGGCTTTGAGCCTCAGCCTGATCTGCACAGGGCAATGGCTGCTGTTAGTGGAGCAGAAAAATTACAGGCCTAGCCATGCATAGAAGCAGCCCCTGAAAGTCCTAATAATGTAAATGAGACATTTATGGATCTGTAGATGTAGATACTCAAACCATACTTCCTAGTCCCCCCTTTGCCTTCTCACAGAACATTGACCCCTAGTATCTGTATCTTCCCTGATATGCCTGCCCTGAGCAGTCACTCCGTACGCAAACTATTTTCCCTGCTATAGTGGGGTAGAGGCCCTGCTCCTCCTGGGATGAGAAGCCATTGATGCCACAGCCCGAGGGGCTTGGGCTCTGGAAGGAAGACCAGAGAGCCCTAGTCCTCGTTCTAGCAGTTAGGCTCCCTAACAAGGCTACAGACAGCAGAAAAGGAAGATGGCTCCCTGATCCTGGATTGTTTTAAAATCTAGCCTGGACTCCCAGGCCTGTCAGGACCTCAGTAACTGGCGAGTGGGAGAACAGTCACTTCTTCTACACTTGGGTCCCCTCTGTTTACTCAATAGGGACCCTGCGTATGCTCCGCACTGTCCCCCATCAAAGCAGCTGGCATGAAAGCTGCAGTCAAGTGAAACACAGATCTCTCCAGACAGCCCCAGCCCCTGACGCCACAATGGGGGCTGTGGCTGATGAAAGGTGGGGATGGGTCAGGGCCAAGCCTACTACAACACAGGCTGGCGCCAACACCGCCTCAGTGCCTAGCTTGATTAATCTGCCTCACTGCCCAGCAATACCCTAAGGAGGGGCCCTCCTACGGCTCCTCAAGGAGGGTCAAGGTCTTAGGTGGGAGGTAACAGTCTAACTCTGGCTTCTTCCAGTTTCTGTTTCTACTGCCTCGCCTCATACACTGCCCACAGACCTGTGAGCAGACGCCTCACCTCTCAGCTGTATATGTCCATTTGGGAGAGCATTCCAGGGCACGGGAGACTCTACCCCGCTCAGTCTTGAAGACAGAATTCTGATGGCCTGCCATAGTTTTGTTTTGAGAGAAGTCAGACTGAAGGCTTAGCACACCACCTTTTGATGGCCCAGGTGCCAATTAGAGATGGTGTCTTGGGAGCTCAGCAGGCCGAGACATCCTGAAGCTAATTTATATTCTTTGACAGGAGTTTGTGAGAGACAAAGCTGTATAGGGACAAAGGGACATCACATTAGTCACTGGCTCCTACCTCGAAGATTGCAGCAGATGGGATGCTGGGTCTGCCCTGCATATCCTCTATAGGCCTCTGATCTTTGGGGAGTGATGGCCATCACTTGGGAAGGTGGCAAATAGGGCAATGCCTTCCTGCCTTAGCCCGGGCAGACTTCCCTAGCCCAAACCTTGTCTTAACACATGTAGGCCTGCAGATGCTCTCCAACTTGGCACAGTTATATAAGCAATGGACAGAATTGTATGTTGTTTATGTTTATATACACTTTAGCCCCCTTTAGCAACCTCACCAGTGTGTGGACTCCTTCTCATAGGATGCAGGCCTCAAGGGGTCCCTGTGCTGACGAGTGTTTGTTTTGTTTTTTCTTTTTGTTTTTTGTCAACTTGACAAAAGCTACAGTTTTCTGAGAGGAGAGAATCTTGATTGAGAAAAGGCCTCTGAAAGATTGGCCTGGCCACACGTGGTGGCACACACCTTTAATCCCAACACTTGGGAGGCAGAGGAAGCTGGACCTCTGTGAGTTGAAGGCCAATCCGGTCTACATAGTGAGTTCCAGGACAGCCAGAGCTACACAGTGAGACCTTGTCTCCAAAAACCCAAAACAAAAACCAAACAAAAAGGCCTATAGGCAAATCTGCAGAATATCCTCTTGATTAATGATGCCAGAAGGTAGTACAGTCCCTGATAAAGTGGTTCTAGGCTGCATAAGAAAATGGGCTGAACTGGGCATAGTGGCTCACACCTTTAATTCCAGCACTCTGGAGGCAGAGGCAGGCAGACTCTGAGTTTGAGGCCAGCTTGTTCTACATAGAGTTCTAGGGCAGCCAGGGTTACATAGAGAGATCATGCCTTAAAAAGGAAAACAAAACAAATCACAAAACAAAACAAAAAAAAAAAAAAAACAGGCTAAGCAAGTGACAGGGAGCAAGGTCAACCAGCAGGATTCCCCAGTGGCCTCCCTCTGCTTAATCGCCTACCTCCAGGTTCCTGCCCTGACTTCTGTCAGTGATGGAGTGTGACCTGAGAATTGTTAGCTGAAATAAACCATTTCCTCCCCAGTTTCCTTTTGGTTATAGTGTTTATCACAGCAATAGAAGCCAAGACAGAAATTGGTACTAGGAGTGACAGACTTGAGCATGTGTTTTGGGGAGGGTTGTAAAAGGACTTTGGATCTTGGGGCTAGAAAAGCCATTGAGTGCTCTAAGCTTAGTGAGCTATCATGATGACTTACAAGACAATTGCTGGGAGTAATACAGATGGAGGCCTGGTCTGTAAAGTTTCAGAGGGAAGTTTGGGTGTTCCTTAAAGCCTATTATCAGAGCTGTTTGCTGTTTTGAATGAAGAATCTGTGGTTCCTGTCAGCTAGGGCTTTAGAACTGGCTGTTATCAACAAGAGGCTAGAACCACTAAATTGAAATCTTTGCTTATAGGGATAATTAATACAGGTCAGCTGGGGCTAAAGACCCGTTGTTATTAGAAAGAGACCCATTGTTATTAGAAAGAGACCCTGCCAAAAGGAAAATCTTTTGGCAGGGTCAGCACACAGCTGTGATCCAGAAGCAGCCAAGGACAGCAGCTGAGCTTGGTAATATGTAAATTTCCCCAGGTTTAAGGCATGAAGGGTCATGAACAGCAGCTGAGGCAGGCACTTTGAAGGGCCAGGAGAGGCCATTGGTGAAGATGTAGCCTCAGTTGTAGTAAAAGCTCTAGGACTGAAGGGGTCATAGGAGTTGAGGATTAGAACATGCAGCTCCCTAAAGAGAGTCCAGGAGAGGCTGCTAATAGTGGTGCAGCCCAACTGCAGCAGAAATTCAGCATCTGGAGATGCCAGTACCATAGGATGATAAGCACTAAGGACAGCACAGGTGTGGGAGCCAGCCTAAGCCTATAAGCAAGCTGCATGTGCTATGGATGGCAAAATCAGAAGTGGGGCCTGCCTCTGCAAAAGAACGTGAGTGGATCCCAGACATGGGACACCAAACTTTTTATACTCTTTCTTTGATTGTGACTGTACCTTAGTTCTTTCCTCTTGAAATAATAAAGTATTTAACTTTCTTTTTTATAATAGAAACCCACAATTATGAGGTCTTGGCTATTTTAGAGAAATTTTGAACTTTTTAAAAAAGAGACTTTGGATTTTTGCTTTGTTTTGTTTTTCGAGACAGGCTGAACTGGAACTTACTGTGTAGACCAGGCTGGCCTTGAACTTGGAGATCCACCTGTCTCTGCCTTAGGATCACCTCAGTCCCTAGCCCATGGAAAAGTTTTGCTGGCTTTCCTGCTCCTCCCCTAACTGGCTGGAAGTCTGACTGCATACCTGGTGAGGGGATTTCACTCTGGTCCCTCTTTGTGGCTACAGTCTGCTCTGGGATCATATGTGAACAGTCTTCTGTTGGCTGTACATCTCCTGTTCATATCTTGACTACTCAATTACCGCGTCTACCAACACAATAACCAGACAGCACCCAAGAGTGATGGAGAAATCTGGAGATCTTTATTGCTATGACAGCTGTTAACTGGGGAGTAGTCCTTTGCAGATCCTCTAAGAGGCAAGGTGTTGGCTCCTCAATCATCATCTCTTCGGCTCCCCTATGTACCCAAGAGCAGTCCGGAGAAACTGGAGCTGTTCTGGATGGTGAGAACTGCTCCAGAACTGTTGTCCACGAACACGGAGACATACTGTCCAGACTGAAACATTACAGTGGGCATCATCACCAGTGGGTGGCCCCAGCCCAGAAGTCCACCCACCCCACAGGGATGGCATTTGAAGCCAATACTGCCTAACAGTTGAAACACCATCCATACAGATCTAAAATCGTCCTAACCAAGCAGCATCCTCCTAGGCATAAGGGTTCAGAGGTCCTGACCACCTACTTGCACTAGGCTATAAGGCCCTCCCAGGCTAGAGGCCCACCCACCTGTTCCCTGGGCCTATACCCTTACCTGTAGCTGCAGCAGCCCCTGAACCTGCACTGTGAAGACCCTGCTGTTGCTCTCCAGGCCTGATACAGCCTCCAAGGACCTGGGAATAGCACCACAAAGCAACAGTGTAGAGGCCCATGGTACCCAGACACCCCTCAGGGAGGCTACCTGTGATCTCAGTCCAAGGACAGATCCCAGAGAACTGGGTGGGCAGCGGGACTCACTCACGTGTGGTGATGGCACAGGGACTCAATACAAATGAGGACACGAACAGTGTCCCTGGTACGCAACCGGCCTCTGCCCTGCAGTTCACTTCGGTCTATGGAGAGAGCAGCAGGTAAGGGGACTTCAGGACATGGCCTACAACAGGCTCAACTGTCTGTCAGGGCTGAGGGTGGCTGGCCCCAAGCAGAGTAGGGTGGTACCTCTGAAACACCCACCTTCAAGGGATAACCTACCCACCACCCATACTACAACATACAGGCTGGCTCACCCACGTGCAGGCTGGCAGAAAACTGGAAGATGGCAGAGACTGGAGCTGTGAATCTGCCCAAGGGCAGGCTCAGGCCAGATCCCCGCACAAAGGCACCTTGGGCAGCAGGCTGTGGAGATTAGGTGGCTAGCTGGATTTCAGGGCCTGGACCCTTACCATGTACGTACAGCTCAACCCCAAACAGGTCTTTCCTGGACCTCATTGTCTTTGTGTAAAGGACAGGGCTGACCTGTGTGTCTACACCCATGTGGACCTTAGAGCAAAAGTTCCAGGCTCCAACAGGTGGACAGGACCCTGAAAGCTATCATCGGGAATGGCAACTCTAGGCCCCACTTTTGTCTTAGAAAGGCTGGCCCTTATCCTCTACAATAGTATCTCTAGGAACCAATACAGGCATGTGTCCAGCAGCTGTCCAGTGGTGTCTGGGGGCCCATCTTGCCAGTAGGTGCCCACCCCTGCATCCTGTGCCTTTGGTATATAAGCCCCTGAGATAAAAGGACTTTTTTGGCTCGGGTCCCGACTCACGGCCTGGAATCCTTGTAGTTCCACCAATGTCTTCTTGTCCACTAGCACAGGGCCTTTCAAGCGGCAGTGGAAGGCCTCAACCACCAGCCGCTGGCTGGGTTCCTGGGGTGACAATGTATCTGGTAGCCCTGAGAATCGAAGTTTCGTGGCCTCTGTGGGGAGGGCCACTTTGGGTCAGGCCCCTTCTAGCCCTGAAAGAGCCTCCTAGGCTTCTGAAAGAGGTTGGGTGCAGGGTAGTCTTACCTTTCAACATCTCCTGAAATTCCTGCAGCAAGGCCTCTGGGGTGACTTCCATACCAGGGGAACCAGGAGGGCCAGGAGGGCCAGGAGGTCCCGGGGGCCCTGGGAGACCCGAGAGGCCTCGCTACAAGAGGTAAAAGAAAGTGAATCTAAGTAGGACCCCAGGCCACCACCTCCCTGGGCTTAGAACCTGAAAGGAGCCCATAAGGGCTGGTTCCACAACAGCTCAGGGGCTTACCGACTTAGCCCGGCCACGGCACCGTTTTCTAGAGGCCCCATCATCTGGCCGGCGGACAAAGTTCAGCCATGTCATGTGGGCATCTGAGAGCTCAGGTCCAGAGGCCTCTGGTGGCTTAAAAGCCAGAGAAGCAAGGCTAGTGCAAGGCTTCAGATTGCTGAAAAGCATGCTGGTCCTTCAAAGAGTGAACTGTAGCCCCACCAGGCATGGCAGAGGGAGGCTCCCCACAGGCCAGGCCCTCTAAGCCAGGACCAGTGGTCAAGGTCTCAGGCAGTGCTCAGGTTCTTCCCCAGGAAGAAGGGGAGCGGAGCTGCTGAGGTAGGTAGGGGGTCAGTCTGAGCTCTGGAGCTGTACTCAGAGCTGCACACCCACATGCGCCCCAGCCTGTGCCTACCTTGAAGGAGCCTGGCAATCTCTTGTGGTTGGGTATGGTAATATTAGGGGACTCCACATGAACGGCCAGCCGTGCCCCCACTCCTGTAGTCTGTAGCCAGAGGAGGGCTGCTGTGGCCCAGGCCCAGGCCCACATAGCTCAGTCTCCACAGACAGAGGCTTAGGCTTGGAACCCCGGGCCAGTGTTCTCATGGGGGCGGCTGCATTCAAAGCCCCTGCGCGGGGGCGAGGCCCAGAGACGAGCCCGGTTGCCGCTGGTGCATGTCTGCAGGATGAGCCAGAGCACAGCTGAGAGCTACTGTCTCCACTGGCCTCCCCTCCTGCATAGTAAATACCCTTGGCCGGTGCCCCACCACCAAACAGCCCTCCCTCCTTCCTAAGCCTCTCAGGTTCTAAGGGGAGGGTTTACACAGGGCTCATCTACTGCCTGGAAGGTAGGAGGGGCAGGGCAGGGGTGGGACCCTATGACCAGTGATCACCTCTTCTTAAGAAGTAGGGAGGAGCTGGACTGAACCTCCCCTGCACAAGCAGTCCCTGGCCTCTTCTCAGCAGGGTTCCTACTTAGTTAAGCTGGGGGTGGAGGTGCTGTCAACATCAACTCTGTGGCATCTTTCATACCCACACCTTCGGGGCAGTGAATCTCAAGTGACTCATTCACTTTAGGAACCTGTCTACAAATCTCCCAGAACTTCCCACACACTTCATTCAAGCCCAGAGGCAGCCTCTACCTTAAACCGCTCCCCCACCCCAATAGCACTGGAAAACTAGAACATCTCCATCACCTGCTTGCCTGCCCATCCCAGCCAGTGATCCCTCCTTACTTACATGAGGCCCACCAGGCTGACCTCTGCTAAGTTACAGCAAGGAGAGGCTGGTGGTCTATCTTGACTCTACACCAGTCACAGGGCTAACTTCTACCATCTGCCTTCCCACTAGCAGTCCCCTAGGCCTATCTCCTAATAAGTTAGCACAGGCCCAGGCCACACTGCAAGGGAGGGAGCCTGTTCATCTCTAGCCAGTGGAATTTCCCCCTCCGGTATTTGTGACACAGGGGCAGGTGCCCAGAGAAAAGGGATCTTCTGAATCACCTTCAGGCTGCAAGTCAGTTAGCTGAGGCTACGCCAAGCCAATGAGTACCTTGGCCTCAGTGACTACGAGGTAGTGGCCCTTGTGAGACAGGGCCAGGATTCCCAATAGCCAGATGACCTCCAACTGGTAAAAGCTGTGGCTACGAACAGCGAGCCAGTGGTTCTAACTGCTCTATAAAGAAACGGGAACTGCATCCCCCAATACACGTTGGTTCCAGTAGATTTGGTTCCTGGTAAACAGAATGTTCTAGAATAGAGCCCCCTCAACTCACACACCAAAGAGTAAAAGGTGGCCAAGCAAGCAAACCCAGCTCCAGGTCACACCCAGGCAGAGAACCCTAACAAAGCTGGGGTGGGAGAGAACGCAAAGGACATGCCCGTCCTGGTTCCCAGACAAACTGTCACCTCCAGGAACAGCAGAGGTTAATCTTGAAGTGTTTCACACATATGGTAACGCCTCAAGCCCTCAGAAGTGCCTTTGGTCCTTGTTTCCTGGTGAGGCTACTCTAGATGATAAGGAAGTACAAGCATTTGATCCCTGGCAGTGACCTGTACCTAATACATACATGTATTCCAAGAAACACAGCCTCTATGCCTGGAGTTCAAAGCTCAGGGTTGGGAGGAGATAAGTGCCTCAGCATAGAGACACCCTCATCACAGATGCAGCACCCTGCTCTTCTGGTCTACCTATATCCTAGTGGCCTAACCTTTTCTTCATGTGACTGGTAATGGGATTCCCCCAGGCTCTACCTTGCTGGCAGTTTATAAGCAGGTAGGCTAGGAGGAAGTGAGGATCTCATTTTATGGTTGAGGATGGACTCAAGTTAACTAGTTTTTCAGCTTTAACATCCCCCTGCCACAAACAACTTGGAAAACAACCAAAAGGATTCTGCTTTGGTTCACGAGAACCCTGACCAGGATGACCAAGGCAACCCCCAGGAGGATCAGGTCCAACTTCTGGCTCTCATCCCCCAGAGCCAGAGAAAACAAGCTTGGCAGAAACCTATTAGCTCACTATACAAAATGTTTCTCCCTCTTACCCATTCTAAGATGAAATTCCCAAAGGCTAACACCTAGGAGGCCAGCCTCTGCTACATAGAAAGTTTAGGCCAGCCTGAGCTATATGAGGCCCTATATAAAACAGTTCCAAAGGCTGCTGGAGAGTTATTTTGTTTTGTTTTTTTCCCCCCCTCAGGAGAGGAATGAGAGGTCGCGGAGCTAAGATGTTTCCTTCCAAGGAATATGAGCTTTGTGAGAGGCTTTCCACCTGTACAAGGAAGACCTGATGGAAGGCAATCCAGGGTAACCCAACTGGCCCCACCAGTGACTTCTCCCAAGAAGGGCAACACACAAACATGTTTGATCCAATGGAATGAAGGTCATCTTTTATTTGGGGTCAGTGCAGGCAACACACTGTGGATACAGGGTCCTGCAGCGAAGCTGGAAGAGGAGCATTCGTAGTATTGGAGCTGACCTACCAGAAGTCTTCAGTTACTACACTAAGTGCGACACCTTGTGGTCAGAGGGCAGGTTAACTTTTTACTTCTACTTTAAGAACCAGCACTCTATAAGATTTTTCTTTGATTCTGGGCTGCCAAGAATTTCAGCCAAACAGCGGCAGTGCAGGCCATGAATCTCAGCTCTTGGGAGGCAGAGACAAGCGGATTTCTGAGCTTGAGGACAGTCTGGTCTACAGAGTGAATTCCAGGGCAGCCAGCACTACCCAAAGAAAACCCATCTCAAAAAAACAAAAACAAATAAAAGAGTTGAGATATCACATACAGAGAACACGAATGTTGAGTAAACCAATGTTCTGTCTTATAAGAACTTCAGGAAACAAGGAGACATTGGACTCGACACTTAACAGTTACCAAAGAGCAACCGAGTGTTCCTGGACCAGGAAGAACTGATGTCTAATACTAAAAGATCCAGTCTCTAGGGTTCCACCCACTGCCACCATGCCATGCACAGACACATCTCGGCCTATAGCTGCAGGCTTCACAGGTCTAGGCCCAGCCATGGGTAATCATGCCACCTTTTGGCAACAGCAACATACCCTTCCCCCAAGCCAGGCATGACTTGCTCACAGCCTTCCAGAGGACATTAACACAGACAGTGTGGCATTTAAGAAAGAGGGTGTATAACTAAAGCCTTTTCAGGAGAGGCTATATACTAACTGTAATTTACAGAGCTAAACCAAAATTATCAGACAGGTCGCACTTCAGCTTTACCATCTCTGAAATGAAGTTGGTTTAGGGGCCTCTTTGGGTCCCCTGTGATGACTAATGTCCAACATAGACGATGTCACTGCCTCTACCTGGGGCCCTACAGATGTCAGCTTTCCCAAACAATTACTGCAGATACATTAAACACAAACACTAAAAAGGTAAGATGTTGGTCACAAAGGAGTCCAGCATCTAAAAACTGAGAACTTGCCAGCTTAGAAACTTATATCTGATGTGTTTTCTGGGCAGTTTCCTTTCCATGATCTGTAGAAATCAGCATCTAACACAGGTCACCTAAAAATGATGTTAAGAGAACTTACAGAAGCCTCAATATGTTAAGCCCAGTCCTTGGGGACTTGAGTTCTCCACTGTCTACCAATATAGGAGGAATATAGGCTTCTGGCCAACCAGACACAAGGAATTCAAAGAAAGGCTCACTAGGCACTCAGAGATCCTACTTCTCCATCACTCAAAGGAGCTGAAAGGAGGAGTGGGTATTAAGGTTGATGGCAATACCAGGACCAAACCGCCAAGACTTCACTGTAGTCTTCAGCCACTGTTTGTGGTCAGAGAGCAAGTTGACTCTTCTACCTTAGCAAGAATAGGACAAGCGCTTTCTATAAGTACTCTCTCTCTCTCTCATTCAGAAGCAGTTTTACAATCCGCTCCTCTCCTAGACCCCCAGCTCACTTAGCCCCACTATGAAGCCTTCAGCTCCTCCACTAAGAACACACAAGAGTACTATTTGATATGCATTAAAGTTTTATATTTTTAAGTGACCAAATCTAATAAAATGGAAAAAAAACAAAAACAAATAAACCAGGTTTACTAAACAGTCCAAAAGACAACACAGGAGTAAGCAATAAAACCAAAGCGTGAGTGGCCCTTGTCCACACCAGCCTCAAGAGGGAGTTAAGACTCTCCAATCTCCTCCAAATCACACATTTTGGTTTTTGCTTTCTTTTTAAGGTTTTTAAAAAGTAAATCCCAGGAGTCCAGCAGGCCTTCCTGTGCTTAGCAGCATGTCCATCCCGCCTGCATGACGCTCTGGCCCGTGTCCCTCAGCAGCAACTATGGATTGCGGCGACTCTTGAGTCTCACTCCTGTGCTATGCTTCTCAGCACATACTTGACAGTGTAGGCAAAGGCTGCAAACCCAACTATAACAAACAAGTTCGCCAAAGCGCCGCCCAGGAGTCCATGATGCCTGTTGGCCTGTGGGAGCCCAGCGAGGTTCGGGCCGGCAGCAGGGGCATGCCCATTGAGGAGCTGGAGCCCATTCTGGCCACGGTGCATCTCCCCATCAGGAACCACGTCTGGCAAGGGAAGGTTCTGGGGCCTGCTACTTAGTTCATCTTGTGCTTTCTGTTTCTGTTTAATTTCCTGAGAGAAAAACACAAGAACCCTCAGTTGTCTTAACAAACCTGCTCTTCCGGGAACAGCACTCGAGTTTTTACAAACCCAGAGCTACCACCCAGATCACAGTTCTCCATTCCCCTGCAGCAGACCCTAACCCAAGAGAGGATAGCTTTTAATCCCTCCCACTTTACAGGTGAAGAAACCAAACAAACAAGGCTTTCAAAATTATTACTCTGTGCCTGAACCAGGTAGCAGCAATTCTGAGTAACAATGAACCATGAAATATCACACCACTGTCCAGTCAGGTGCTTCTGCTCATTGCCATGGTCTCAACTACAGCCCATACCAGGGAACACTTATTGCCACATGGCATAGTACATACCCAGCCCTTGCTATTAAGAAGCAACTGATGTACTTCCTAGCCACTGCTGGTGGAACACTTGAGGAATGGCCACTGATTGGCAAGTTCCATACCTCTACTGGGACAGACTCAGTCCTTAATACTTGTACATGTCCCTCAGGGTCTCCCCAATCCCTGGGCTGTCTTTCCTGCACTGTAGGGTCCTGGAGAAGAGCCAGTTCTGTCACTCAATAATGTGTACACCTGGAGCATAGCCAGCACAGACCCCTATGTCCTGCAGCACTATGGAGGGCCTGCAAGCCCTCTACAACATCTATGGGAACACAGTAGTGGGTACACAAACACAGTTTCTATTTGGAAACAAGTAAACCTGAAAGGGTTTTAACATATGGGAAGACAAAACTGAGTTCCAACTTTTGCTTTCTTACCTCCACAACTTCAGGAAATAATTCACAAAAGACTTTATCTTTTAAATTAAACACTAAACTCTGTGCTGCCAGCTGTCTTTTCTAGGAAGAAAGAGAAGGGAAATATCAGCCAGAAAGCTAGTTTTTGTTGTTGTTGTTGTTCTGTTTTTTGATGCAGAGTTTCGCTGTGTAGTCCTGGCTGTCCTGGAACTCCCTCAGTAGACGAGGCTGTCCTCAAACCCAGAGATCTACATGCCTCTGTCTCACATAAGCTGGGATTAAAGGTGTGTGCCACTACCACCCAGTTAATTTTTAATTAAAAAAAAAAAAAAAAAAAAAATCTTGCTGGGCAGTGCATACCTTTAATCTTAGCAATTGGGAGGCAGAAGCAGGTGGATCTCTGTGAGTTCAAGGCCAGCCTGGACTACAAAGGGAGTTCCAGGACAGCCAAATAGTTACACAGAGAAATTCTGTCTCGAAAAACCCAAAATCAAAACAAAAACTCTTAAAGAGACAGATGTGGTGGTGCACACCTGTAAACCCATAATTCAGGAAGCTGAGGTAAGAGGATCACCACAGATTCAATGTCAGCCTGCCCTACATAATGAGCTCAAGAACACCCTATGCTAATAATGAGACCTTAATATTTGGCAAAACAAAATCTCAAAACAGACTCCTATAGAGTCAAGGATTATAGAAAACACCTAAAATGCTTTCTCTTCTCAAAAATTAGTCTTATGAAGACTTATTTATGTTTTTGTTATCAATTAACATTAAACATGATTCCTATTATCTAAACATTAGAGACCTAAAACAAGCATGAACAGATGTACATCTCCTTCTCAAGCCTTACAAAGTCTCCTGAGGAGCACAGGAGTGTCAGTGATGCTTAGCAAGGACAAAAGCAGAGTTGGAGACAGAGATGGGCAGTGAGCCAAGGGCCATGTTCTGAGGCAGCCAAAGCAGAGATTTCTACAATGTGGCCAGGAATAGGGCACAATCAGCCCAGGATGAGAGGTTGGAGGCCACAATGTTGCAAGGCCTCGGGCAAGGCGCTGCCACACCTCACCGTGAAGTCCGATGTCTCTATGCTGCCCAGGGTGGGGCCCTTCTCCACCATGAAGCTCAGAAGTCCTGTTAGAATGGTGGAGACAGACCACGCTGGATTCCATGTGTCTGGGTGGAAATCTGTGATGGAGAGACACAGCCTGAAAGAAAGTGATTTTTGTGAGTAAGAATGTATTCCCATGACCACAGACAACTTAGAACATTTCACTACCTGGAAGCTTACCTTGTGTTGCACTTAAACCTCCCATTGGGGGTTATCATGTAAATACTAGGAGGCTTAAATGGAAATTCTCTGGGAAAAATTAGTTTTCCATGATAATAGCCACCTATATACAAAGAAAAACAGTCTTATTAGCCTTGTCAACATCCAGTGTGACTGCTTCTCAACTCTCACCAACCTTACCCAGTTTCCATGGCTCCCATGGTAACCCACTGCCATCTCTATGCTGGCTCGCAGGCTCAACCCACTACTGACTTTATTTACCAGGGTTCATGATACTCCAACATCTCAGCCTGTCCCCCAGCTTCTGACTCTCCATCTATTTATTACAACTATGCCTGCACGAGTCTATAACTATCACCTGCCCACTCTAGCTGGAGAACACCCCTTCTCTCCCCAGACTCTTCATGTTCCTCCCTTACTGAGAACTGAGTGGTCAGAAGAGAACTTGCAAGGAGTCCCAGGCTCCTCCACTACTTCATTTGGTTCCTAGCAAATACATTCCTAGCACCAGCATTTGTCTACAAGGAGAAAAAATTAGGAAACATTCACTTGCATTTCAAAGAAAAGGGTCACATGAATGAATGTCAGGCATGAGCTGGGTGGAAGAGGAATTTACATGCCACGTAACAGTGCAAATTAGGTAAGAAAACAGCAAGTTACTGGACATCAGTTAACTAGCTGCACCAAAGAATACATAAATGAAGGCTGGAGAGATGAGTTAATAGTTAAGAGCCTGCTATGCAAGCATAAAGATCAGAGTTTGGATTCTAGAACCCACTCATAACAAGATGGTCCTACCAATGCCCACAACTCTAACAATGAGAGTGATGGAGACGGATATATTGCTAGGGCCTATTGGCTGCTAGTCTAGCAGAAAAATAAGAGCTCCAGGTTCATGGAGAGTGCCTTAATAGAACAGAGAGACATGACTCTCCTCTAGCTTCCTCATGTTAAGTGTGGACCACCAGCACATGCATGTGCACACCCCAACCCACACTAAAGTGTGATTCTTTGTGTATAAATACACATTATTTATTAATTGCTGGGGGATTAGACCTAGGGCCTTGCACATGCTAAGCAAACACACTACCACTGATCGCTATCCCTACTTTCCAGACAGGTTAAATTACAAAGAACACTCAGTGTTTGTGGGTAGTCATGGTTCTTACCCTCAAAACATGAAGATGTCCCAAAGGAATACTTTTACCAAAATAATCACAGCAAGACAGACCCTCTCTCCTGCAATCAAAGTCAGTTCTTGCCATGGAACACAGGAAGAGAACAGAGAACAGTCTATGAGGGAAGGGTCATAATCATAACCTTGGCCAAAGCCTAGGGACAGAAACCCAGAGAACACAGCAGAACCATAGATGTCTAGCTACTCTAGACATGCTTCCCTTCTGGCTTGTGCTTTGTCAGCATCAACTGTTTCTACATTCTACATTATGCTCCACAATCTGTTTCCATGCACCACTGTTTGTCCCTCACTGCTAGATCTGCATAATACACGGTAAACAGTGGCTCCTCTACTTAATTCTCCTTCCAAAACAATTTCTTTTTGGAATCTACTTTAGGTCCTTTATCCTTTCATGTAAATTTCAAAGTCTTAACAGCCCTAAAATATGAATAAGATAACATTAAGTGATCAATTAGTGTTAAATTATTACCACACTTTCCATAGGAAGCCAATTTTGTACTCTTAGGTTGGGTGTGCCCAAGAGCATTAACAGGGCTCTCACAGAGCTCAGGACAGCATCATACAAAACTGAGGACTGAGGAAAGCTCTTGGACAAGACAACTTAGAGGATTCCTTACAGAATCTGAGAGAATGTTATCTGCAGCTACCAAAGGAGAGTCCGCCCCACTGAGTAGGGACAGCTGAGAGGAGGCAGTAAAGTGGGGAAGACAAGGGTTCGGTGAGTATTTTGGCAGCCTGAGGGACAGTGCCTACATAACTACAAGGAAGAGAAGGAGATGGAAGGACAGGGACACAAGCATTAGTGGCTAAGACACTAGAATTATGGGTTAAGAAATAGGACCAGGTGGAAGCACAGTGACAGGTCAGGTTTGCATTGGCAAGACCCGGTTATCTCCAACAGAGTGATCACGTATCCTTCAGGGCTACCCTCTTTTCCCCTTGTGTCCAGCCCATTCCACGTCAACAAACCTTGGCTGGGCTAGTGCTAGGAGAGTTCTGGTCACACAGTGTTTGAATGTTCACTATTTACTTTAAAATTTAAAACAGGATGGAAGGTTCAGTAGTTAACGGCACCTGCTGCTTTTGTAGAGGACCTAGGGTTTGTTTCTAAGCATCCATATGACTGCTCACAACTGTATGAAACTATAGTTACAAGGAATCCAGCACCTCTATGAGTTCCTGCATACACATCATGTCACATACATGTGTGAACACACACACACACACACACACAAATATATTTAAAAATTAAAAACAATAGCCAGGTGGCGGCGGCTCACACCATTAATCTTGGCACTTGGGAGGCAGACAGACTGATTTCTGTGTGTTTAAGACCAGCCTAGAGAGCAAGTTCTAAGACAGGATCCAAAAATACATAAAGAAACCTGGTCTCAAAAATACAAGAAATACCAAAATCCAAAATAACCTAAAAACTCAAAATAGTTCAAGCATGCCAAACACACAGTGTTTTCTTATTATTTTTACCAACCGTTTGGAAGCCCATTTTCACATCTATTACGGACTGATCAAAAGAAATTTCAAGGGCTCCTTGAGACACATAGTCTGTATGCCTCCCTCACTTCACCACACTCTGCTGCTGTAGGGCTCAAGCAAATTTCTGGTGTATGGCATTGTAAGCAGCATGATCATGACATGCACAAACATTTGCCTCCCCCACAGCCCCTGAAGACTCATTATCCAAAACAAATTACCCCAAAACTTGGGATTTCTGGACCAAAGGAGAACCTGGTAAAGAAGTCTCAGCCAAACCAACTACAAAAGGGTTTGGCCTTTTGCTCTCAAACAAATGTCCCAAACAATACTTTTATTTATGCTGAGGATGGAACCCAGAGCCTCACAGAACCACTAAAACCTCCTCTCTGAAGTGTTCCACTTATAAGCAAAGACCTGTTGTTTGTGCCATCTTAAGTTAAACCTGGTAGTTGGACGCAGAGGATTGCCCACCTGGCCTGTGAGATGGTGTCAATATTGCCAATCGGACCCTAGAAATCTGCTGACTGACAATTCCAAGGGCTAATCTGTCAAGATCACTGAGGGCCCTAATAGTATCTGGTTATCTGAGGGATCAGGACACCAAGTCAACACTAGCAAGCAGAAAAGAGAGGTGAGAACCTGTTAGGTCCTGATCCTTCCTAAGCCTTGCATGCCTCCACTTAGTTTGAAAACTATTCTGACAACTAATAAATACCTAGCCAAAAAGTGAGAGAGACAGAGTGAGAGAGCAGAGAGAGAGAGAGAGAAGAGAGAAGAGAGAAGAGAGAAGAGAGAGAGAGAGAGAGAGAGAAGCCAGATGGTGTTGGTGTGTGCTTTTAATCCCAGCACTTGGAAGGCAGAGGCAAGCAGAATCAGAGGCAAGCCTGGTTTACAAAGTGAGTTTCAAGACAGCCAGGATAGTTATAAAGAGAAACCCTGTCTCGAAAAACCAAAAGTGCCTAGCACCGATAAAAATATATATATATATATATATATATATATATATATATATATATTTTTTTTTTTTTTTTTTTTTTTTTTTTTTTAACATTCCAATCCCAGTTCCCCCTCCCTTCTCTCCTCCCACTACCCTTACTTACCCACCCCATCTGGTCCTCAGAGAGGGTAAGGCGTCTCCTAGGACGTTTACTAAGTCTGTCCCATCATCTCTTTGAGGCAGGATCAACGTACTTCTCCACCCTCCATACCCATGTCTAGGCCAAGCAAGGTATCTCTCCATACAGAATGGCTCCACTAAGTCAGTTTGTGCACTGGAGTTAGATCTTGGACCCACTGCCAGTGGCCTCTTGTACTGTCCCAGCTGCACCATTGTCACATATATTAAGGGAGTCTAGTTCAGTCTTATGCAGGTTCCCCATTGTCAGACCTGGGTCAGCAATCTCTCACTAGCTCAGGTCAGATGATTCTGTGGGTTTGCCCATCATGGTCTTGACTCCTTTGTTCATGTTATCACTATTCCCTTACTTCCATTGCACTCCAGGAGCTTGGCCCAATGGCTAGTTATGGGTTTCTGCATCTGCTTCCATCTGTTTCTGGAAGAGGGTTCTAGCTTCCCTCGGGTTGTGCATTGTAGGCTGGGCATCTTTTGCTTTATGCTTGCTATCCACTTATGATATGAGTGAGCACATACTACATTTGTTTTTCTGGGTCTGGGTTACCTCACTCAGGATGGTTTTTCTAGTTCTGTCCATCTGCCTGCAACTAGCACAAATTTTTTTACATTTCCTTTGGCCTTAGACACAGAAGAATGTTTTACTGTTTATTCCAATTTATTACTATCTGTTTTTCCTTGGGCTAGAAAGATGGTTCAGCAGTTAAGAGCACGTGCTGTTCTAGCAGGAGGATTCAGGTTCAATTCCCAGCACCCACATGGTAGATCACAATCATCTATAACTCCAGGATCTGACAGCCTCTTCTGTGGGCACCAGGCACACATCTGGCATACAGACATATAGGCAAGTAAATACCCATACACATAAAATGAAATTTTAAAAATACCTTTTCCCCACCTCCAACCAACATAAGAGGCTGGAGAAATGCAGATGGTAATTACTAACAGTCCAGAAATTCTAAACTGAGCAAACATTTCTAGAATTCAGAGAAATACTATGATGAGATTCTGAAAGACTGTTATGATGCATATTTCTTTCTACTCACCTTCATAAGGAGTCATCTCAGGGCCTCGGACAACATAATGCCTAAGAGAGAGAGAAGCAAATTACTTGATCTGTAGACCACGAATTCCCTAAAACTAAAGTTCTCACAAAGGGCCTGACACTATTGTTTGAGGGTAACACCCATCACTCTAAGCAACAAGGGGACAGACACATACATCATGGCTCATTCTAAATTCTTCCCTCCTAGGAATTTGGTGTTTTAGTGGGTGGCAGGCAAAGGTGCCTAATGGCCACTCAAACAGAACCTAGGCACCAAGTGTCTGATGAGTTTCTTCAGTGACATACATGCCACATGTGCTGACCAAGCTCACTGTTGAGGAGCTACATGTGCTTTGAGCAAACGCCCAGGGTCAGGAATCTAGATGCTTCTTTCTGCATTCCTTTGGACTTCACTCCACCTACCTCTTCCCTTCATTACTTTTTTGGTCTTTTCAGTCTAGCAAATCTTAAGTGAGAGCTGGAGAGATGAATCAGTGGGTAAAGGCACACACTACCAATCTGACAACCTGAGTTCGATTTCCTAGGATTAAATGGTGGAAGAAGAGAATTGACTCCTAAAATTGTCCTCTGGCTTCTACATATATGTGGTGGCACATTGCACCCACAATAAATACAATTAAAAAAAAAAAAAAAAAAACCTGCTTTAATTTCTATCTCAAGCAAGTCCTTCCTAGAACATAATCAAATCAAAGGGTAGACTTAGAGAACTCTAACAAGTGCATGAAGAAGAATTCCACATACAACAAAGGTAAACCATCAATGAAACTTGTTCCCATACCAGGCAACTATGTCCCAGGGACCACATCTGATTTTTTATCACTGGAACAGGGTTACTTCTAATGCCACCAAAGAGACTCCTCGTGCATTTCCCCTGTCAACAACATTCAATCTGCAAAATAATTTTTTAATTTGGGAAAATCTTCTCTAGATTTTGAAAATCCTAAAAGTAGTAAAGTTTTGTTTGTTTGTTGAGACAGGTTTTCCTATGTAACAGTCCTGGCTGGAACTTACTTTGTGACCAGGCTGGTCATGAACTCAAAAGATCTGCCAGCTTCTGCCTCTTGAGTGCTGGGACTAAAGGCATGCACCACTACACCTGGTGGTTTTTTTTTTTTTTTAAAAAAGATCAAACCCATCAAAGCAAGATAAATTTCTTTAAAAAAAAAAAAAAAAGGAAAGGGAAAAAAAAAGAGTGGGGGGCTTACTACACAGTACTGGCTAGCCTGGAACTCAAGAGATCCACCTGCCTCTGCCTCCTGATGTGTACCCCACCCAGTGAGAAATGCTCACCAAAGCTGGTAATGAGCATTTCCACAGAGAACATATAATTTCATGACTCTACACTTTTAACACAGCAAAAGAACTACCGTGAAACAAATCAAGGGTTAGTGTCAAGACTTTGCCACTAATGCTCCCAGGCTATATAGCTAATTCCCAGTGTCAAGAGGCAAAATGCAGCCTAGCCCTAATTTACATAAATAACATCTGAGAGCTTTGCATACCCAAAGCCTACAATGAGGACTACCCAAGATTTCTGTCCATCTGAAGCTGAGGAATTACCAGACTGCCTCTGTGATGACCAGGCCCACCAGATAGACCACAAAAGAACCTACAAGAGAGTGACTATGATGCAGGGTGAGCAGGGATGCAGAAGCTTACCATTCAAGAATATTTGAAGGGAGGGGCTCCGCACAGATGTAAGGCACCGGATCTTTCTTAATTCGAAGGTAGTCCTGTTTCAATCTCTGTGTTGCTGTTGTTGGAGCTCTCTTATTGCTGTTATTGCTCATCTATTTAAAGAAAAAGAAAAAGCACCTCTATTTACAACCAACACAAGAACATATACATGCTTTCCTTACTATAAACAATTTTAGCAGATGACTACCTCTGCTCTCCTCTCTGCAGCCCACCAAGCATCAAGTCCTTCCCTCAGCTCTTTTTCTATATATCCCTACCACCATCACCACTCTTTTATTCAACATGATACCAAGTATTTAACAGAGATGCAAGGTAGAAAGAACCATGAAGCTGCATTCCTGTTCCCAAAGAATTACAAATTAGTTCATTCAAGTGAGATCTGGGTAGGCATGCTGAAGCCAGCCTGCACCAGCTCCAAAGATAAACTCTACAAATCTGTTCGGCAACACCTCAGTAATGGACATTTCACAACAAGACATTAGTGAGTACCACAGGCCTTCTCCTGCCTTGGAAGCCTGTTACACATTTATCAATGGTCACAAAGAACAACAGTAGGGGCAAAGAGGTGAGGTGATACTTTTAGAGATCTAGACGCTTACAGGAGGCAGAGGAGAAGGCATGTTTAGGGGAGCACATTGGTCACCATGTCAGGCAAGAGCTCAAACACAGTGAAGGACAAAGAACAAACTAGCCAGAGAGACAAAGCCAAACTTCCAAAATCCCAAGAATATTAGGCCCTAGTCTTAAGGTACATGTGGTGGTTTGAATAAGAATGGCCTCTATACGCCTATCGAGAGTGGCACTATTAGCAGATGTGGCTTTGTTGGAAACTGGATCACTGTGGGCTTTAAGGTCTCAGATGCTCAAGCTAGGCCCAGATAGGCATTCACTTCTGCTGCCTGTGGATCAAGATGTAGAGCTCTCAGCTCCAGCACCATGTCTATCCAAATGCTGCCATGCTTCCTGCCATGACAGTAATGGACTAAACCTCTGAAACTGTAACCCAGCCCCACGTAAATGTTTTCCTTTATAAGAGTTGCCATGGTCATGGTTCACAGCAATCGAACACTAACTAAGACAGTCATCAGGACCTTCTATTAGGAAGATCACTCTGGGGCCTCAACACAAGGCAGCAGTAAAGGGTACATACAGGGAGTGGAACTATATGACAATGATGAAGAAAAGGGACTAGGGCTTTTGAAATAGCTCAGTGAGCAGGTAAAAGTGCTTGCCAGACAAGACTGACGAAAGGAGTTTGAAAGGAGTTTGATCCTCAGGACCCAGATAATGGAAGAAAAAGAACTATCTGCTTCAAACTGTCCTCTGAACTTCACACACAAGCCCACACACATGCACACGCATGCACAAACATACATGCATTCACAAACAAAAAATATAACAAAAACGTTTAAAGAGAAGAGCCCAGCTGAATATGGAGGTACACATCTTTAATCACAGCACTTGGGGGGGGGGGCAGAGGCAGGCAATCTAAGTTTGAGGCCAGACCTCGGTCTACATAGTAAGACTCTGTCTCAAAAGAGAAAGGAACTGAATCAGGGGCTCAGAACCCTTAGCTATACTCCATCCAGAAGACAAGGAGGCAGTGGTGGAGGGAATAGGGTTCCTACTGCCACGGATATCAGAAGAGCTCCTACTTGCTCTCTTTTCTCATGGTTTAAGACAAAAACAAAAAAAAAAAAAAAAAATTCTACAACTAAAAATAAAGTATAAAAACAATTAGTCATAAAATACAATTGAGGGGCCACTTGAGAATATACAAATTAGAGAGGAGACCATAGGCTGGTAAGATTGAGATAGTTGAGTGGAGATACTTGTTGCCAAGTCTCATGACCTGAATTTAATTTCCAGGATCTGTATGACTATTACAAGTTGTTCTCTGACCTCTATGCGTAAGCTATGGCACACACCTCCCCACTACCAAAAATAAATATATTTAAGTTTAAGTGAAAACGGCAGGAGATGAACTTGGCTGTAACAGAGCAGGCTGGACATGAGCAGTTACAGATGGCCATTATCTTGTGATACTGGAAACCCGTATTTGCCCATTACAGCCTCCTCCTTTTTCTCCTACCATTATTACTTAGCCGCTCTATCCCTAACCTGTCTCACATAGTGCCGTCTGGTCACTTTAACCATGACTCCAGACATCAGCAAACATCAATAGCTGTGAATCCCTATCCTAAGCTCCCTAACCAGATAACCCTAAAGTCAACCCTGCCCTAGCCTTTGTATGAATTAGTCCCTGAGACAGCCACATGTTCTTTCTCTTCAGCGTTTGCTTATACATATGTGAGAGTCAACAACTTTTAACCCTCTAATCTGGCTAATTTCTTGGTAGACACCATCACCACAGACCTCTGCATCTGCCCCCTCTACCAGTACTGATACCTCATAACAACCAGGGCTTGGTATGTACTTACTCTGTAACCTCAGGCCCTACAGAGACGACAACTCAGCCAGGGTATCCACCACAGCTCTCATGTGCACAGTCTCAGCAAAGTGCCCACATGGCTGCTCAATTAGGGAAGTGGGGGGATGAACCCTAATCCACACATTATTTGCTCACTTCCTTCCGATCCCAATAACCATAATGCAGAAACACATTATTTTCTTGCCAACCAGGAGCCTCAGATCTCACACTTCAGTCGATCGTGTGCACTAAAAATCATTGCAGTTTAACCATTCACTCCCCACCAAAGACAGCAGATAAATGGAAACAGCTTCTTTCTCTGCCAAACCTTTAAAACACCCCATCTAGACATGGTTCTCATAGTACCTAATAAAGCCCAACCTTCCTAGCCTAATTTGGACTGGTAGGAAATACACATACATCCTTCCCTACCTGGTCTGAGCTACATCTATTAGGGTCAAGTGCCTCCTTTTCCTTCACAACCACCTCCACCACCACTACCATCACCACCCCCATGTTCTAAAAGTATAATGCACAAGAACGTTTCTGGCAGAATCAAGGGCCTTTGCCTGATTCTTCCAAGAATGCTCACACCAGGAACAAAGTTACTGTCCAGCATGGCCAAAAAATGCTTCCAGAAAGCACTGTCCCCAAGTTCTTGGCTTCAGAAGCCATGTGGGACAGAGAGCTCAACCTGTCCAGCACCTAGTGAGAAACAAAGCAATAGCCAATGATTCACAAGGACCACAAGGCTTATTCTTTCTGTTCACCCTTGAAGTTAATATTCCAACATGTACAATATTAGTGGACACACGTGCACGCGCACGCGCGCGCACACACACACACACACACACACACACACACAGGAAACTAGCAAGGTTACTTGTGCCAGGCTAAAATGTATCTCAGTTGGTTTAAGTGTTTGCCCAGCATGAAGCCCTGGGTTTGATTCCCAGCACCACCACATAAACAGACTGTGGTAGTGCATACTTGTCCTCCCAGAAGTGGATAGGTAGAGGCAGAGGATCATAAGTTCAAAGCCATCCTAAGCTATACAGCTTGGAATACATGAAATCCTGTCTTAAAAAAAAAAAAAAAGACGGGTGTGGTGAAACATATCTTTAATCTTGGCACTTGGGATTCACAGGCAGGCAAATCTGTGTGAGTTTGAGGCCAGCCTGGTCTACAGAGTAAGGTTCAGAATAACCAGGGCTACACAATACCCTGTCTCAAAACAAAAAAAAAAAAAAAAAAAAAAAAAAAAAAAAAAAAAAAAAAAACCAAAACCAAAACCAAAACCCCAAAACTGATTTTGCCTAGTCAGTCACAAAACAAAGGTCCTTCTCATACTTGCTTTTACTTTTTTTTTTTTTTTTTTTTTTTTAGACAAGGTCTCACTATGTAGCTCTGACTGTCCTGGAATTTACCACTTAGACCAGACTGGCCTCAAACTCAAAGATGCTCCTGCCTCTGCACCCCAAATGCTGATATTAATGGAATGTGCTGCTATGACTGGCTTTAAGGTTTTTTTTTTTTTTCCTTTCTGCACTGGAAATTTAACCTAGAGCCTCACACATGGTGGGCAAGTGTCATATCACTAAGCTGCATCCCCAGCCTCAAACTGGTTTTTAGACATAAAACCATATTTACAGTTCAACTATTCAGTTGTTCCTCCTTTACCTCACTCGGAACAGCACTTTCTTTCATGATTCTCCTGGGGGACTGTAGGTGACAAGAAGCAGCCAGTCACTAGCAGTCTTCTCTGTCCCACATCACTGCACCAAGGTGGTAGTTCCTTTCCTTTTGGACCCCTCTCTCTCTCTCTCTCTCTCTCTCTCTCTCTCTCTCTCTCTCTCTCTCTCTCACACACACACACACACACACACACACACACCCCAGTAGTCAGGTCAGGTGACCACGTGGAATGAGACCTTGGCCTAACTGATCAGCAGGGTACATGACACACCCAAAGCCAGGACTTTCAGGAAGTTTTACCTTCGCCACTTACACACACACACACACACACACACACACACACCCCTACCCCTGACAGTGGAGCTGACACTGATTTCAGGAACACCATGATGCGCAAACTATGAATCCAAGTTGTAGCACCTAGACCTAGCTCTGCCTATAGATCATACACGGGGCTTTCCGATTAAATAAAATCCTAAAATTCCCCTTTTCCCTGACACTAAATTACCACTTCACACACCTGGAATGAATAAATCTTTGCACCACTCTACTCTTACCAAAAAAAAAAAAAAAAAAAAAAAAAAAAAAAAGCTATTGTTATGGACTTGTTGGCTTAGTATGGACCACGGCCTTATCTCTTCCTAGTTGTCTATGTGGATCTAACAACATGTTGGGAACTTGACTTGTGTTACCTACTAAGTGATGGACACGGAAAGGTGAAGTCATTGGTTAGTAAAAGTGGACGTAAGTCCCCACCGTCCTCACCCGCCGCCCCGGCTCCCGCTGAGGGCAGGCAGGGTCTTGTTCGGGGGAGAGGAGGGGGGCCCAAGTCCCACTCCTACTGTCAAGTGTTCTATTACATCCAAGGGCATAACGGTGGACACGCTCGTTTCTGTTGGAGCTTATTAAGTAGTCTGAGGTTCTAACCGGTCACGATGAGAGAGGGCACTCAACGGCTGCCTCCCCCGCGACACAAGACTCACCAACCCCGACTACTCCTTGGAAGTATCTCAAGTTCACCAACCAACCAACCAACAGGCCTCTTCGTGGGAGACTCTGCCGCGTGGCAAAACCAAACCTCTCAACCTGCCCAAAGGACTAACCCCAAGCGCCCTCAGTAACCGACCTCTGGTCCGCGAAGGGACGCTCGGGGTCGGGGGCCACGGCAGGCAGGAAACGTTAAGGAGCCGGACCCGACGTGCGGAGTCCCCCGAGTCCCCGCCCGCCGCTGTGGCCGGCTCCGGCGGGGCGAACGAGCGGCCCGAGGCCCCGAGCAGCCCGCGAGCGCTCACCTCTCCCTGAGGCCGCCGCCGCGTTCAGGTTCGCCGTGGTCGAGGCCAGAGCAGGGTGCGGAAGAGTGGGGCCCGTTCTGTGAGCCGCACCCGCGCTGGGACTCAGCCCACCGCACCCGCCGCAGCGTCTTCGCTGCTACCGCCGCTCAGCTTCCAAGATGGCCGCCCGAGGGGTGGCCCAGCACCGCTTCCGCTTCCGGTGCGCTGCTTGCCAGGGCAGGCACTTCTCTAGGCAGCTGGGTGGAGGGCTCTACTATCCGCTCCCGGGCGCCCCCCGGGGATCTAGCTCCTCTGTCCCGCCGTTGCGCGAAGTGTCGCTGGCGCGTGCGCACTGGAGAGTAACCGGGTGTGTGTGTGGGGGGGGGGGAGGTGATGTGGATTCTTTCTGTCTCAGAGAAATGAGCTAGTTGCTCTTTTCCTCCGGGACGCTCCCTGGACAGGATGCTGTCTAGCCGGCACCCCAGCAACAACAATAAGTGGCTGCAGGATTCCCATCCCCCATATCTCGGGCCAGTCCGGGACGCCGGGTCCAGATAAAAGATGACCCATGAGTTCACTAGCATCTGCCACAGGCAACCTTCTGGCCCAAGGTCCACTCTGGAGGTCATCATCCTGCCCTCGCTGCCCCTCTAGCCATAAAGAACCAAGTGAACAGTGCATCAAATGGGCAGCCTCCTAGCCCCGAGGACAGCCGTCCTCATAAAAATAGTCCCTGTGTTTCTGTACCAAGCTTTCCATCCAGTTCATGAATACCGCCATTATGCTCAAGGACATTTCTCTAAGAGGGGTTTTCCTCTCCCACAGCCTCCTTCCTGGCTCTGGGGAGGGTAGATGCCACAGCTTGGTCACTTGGCCAGGCTATCTGGCTGGGGCTGAGACAGGAGGCTGCCGGTGGGGATGTTCTAGGTACTTACTAGTTTGAGCCCTGACAGCTGGAGGAGCTGGGCAGAGAGGCTGATAGACGTTCAGGCTTCCCAGTCCCTCAAGCTCACATTCCTGCCTCACTTTGCATTCCTGGGATGCTCAAGTGTGTTTTCATTTTGGTGACATATGTCACACACACATCCCATGTCCTTGACCCAGCACCTTCCCCTTTCACTTGCTCGTGAACTCAGGAAACCAAGCTGGATGTGGCAAGTGTTGGGACCCCACCTTGCATGGCAAGGTAGGACTGGGATCTGGACAAAAGGACTAGGATGGTCTCATATCCTCTTTGGTTCCTTGAGAAGCAGCCGAAGATTTGACCAACTGGTGCTTGAGATGTCCAGGGATGCAAGTCAGGGCTGCAAAACAGAGGCAGTCATTGGCAGTGCCTGGCCAACCATATACTGTTCAACTTAAAAGTTCTCATCCTTCACCATGACCCTGACTGCCTCTGAGCACCATGAGCCCAGCAGTGGCCATTGATTCACAGAGCAGGTGATGGATGAGCCCTCCCACCTTACTTGTGATCTGGGTGCTGCCGCAGGACTGACCCCTGAACCCTAGGGAGTGTCTTATCCGTCAGCCCACCATGGCAAGTTAACTCTAGGAGACCAGTGGCTTTTTTCAACTGCCAAACTCAGAAAACACATCAGCACAGAGTCCTTTGCCTCCTCCTTCCCCAAGACTCTGTGGTCCCTAATCAAGGTAAATTAAGTCATGTTTCTTATTTGTCTTTGTTGTTATTGTTGTTCCAGAGTTGAGGACTGAACCCAGGACCCTGCACTTGCTAGGCAAATGCTCTACCACTGAGCTAAACCCCCAACCCAAATTAAGCCACATTTAAAGGATGGAAAGTTAGAAAAAAAGAGGCCATTCTGCATAGAAAAATAATCATGGGCTCTCTGGAACATACCTTGCTGACTACTTTTGTGTCTATTTGAAGCTAAAGTCATCTGAAAGGAGAGAACCTCAACTGAGAAAATGCCTCCATAAGATTGGGCTGTAGGCAAACCTGTAGGGCATTTTCTTACCTTATGATTGATGTGGGAGGGCCTAGGACATTGTGGTTGAGGTCACCCCTGGGCTGGTAATCCTGGGTTCTTTAAGAAAGCAGGCTGATGCTGGGCATGGTGATGTTTGCCTTTAATCCCAGCACTGGGGAGACAGAGGCAGGTAGATCTGAATTCCAGGCCAGCCTAGTCTACAGAGTGAGGTCCAGGACAGCCATGGTTACACAGAGAAACCCTGTCTCAACAAACAAAGCAACCAGGCCGAGCAAGCCGGAAGGAGCAAATCATTGAGCTGCACTCTCCCATGGCTTGTACATTAGTTTCTGCCTCCAGGTTCCTGTCCTGCATGAGTTCCTAACCTGACTTCCTGCAGTAATGAACAGTGATGTGGAGATGTATGCCAAATAAATCCTTTTTTGGTGGTTTGAATAGGAATGGCCCCATAGGCTCATATATTTGAATGATTGGTCATTAAGGAGTGGCACTATTAGGTGTGTCCTTGTTGGGATAGATGTAGCTTTACCGAAGGAATCACTGGGGGTGAACTTTGGGTTTTCAAATATTCAAGCCAGACCCAGTGTCTCTCTCTCTCTCTCTCTCTCTCTCTCTCTCTCTCTCTCTCTCTCTCCTACTGCCTGCCAATCCAGATGTAGAATCTTGGCCTCTACTCCAGCACCATGTTTGCCTGCATACCGCCATTACCATAGTCATGGTATCTCATCACAGCACTAGAAATCCTAACTAAGACAACTTTCCTCACCAAATTACCCTTTTTTCATGGTGCTTCATTACAAAATAGTAACCCTAAGACAATACGAATGCAAACAACAACCAGAGCTTGGGCCATAACCATTCTCCGACCCGCTTGTCCTTGTGTAAAATGAAGCACTAACATACCTACCAGGGTAGCATGAATACCTAAACCATCACAATAGTGAAGTTGCAGAGAGAACCCAGCTCAGGGCCCCCCAATCCCTGAGCACATCTAGCTTATATCTGAAGGGATGGGGACAGATGTAGCCAGCAGGTTCTGCCAGAACCAGAGACCTCACCTCACCTGACACACCTTCAACTTTCTGGTCAACAGGACTCAGGCCGCTCTGCTCTGCTCTCTCTCTAGAAAGCCTTAACAGTTGAGAAGGGGTGGCTAGAAAGACAAGCAGCAGGGGGTAACTGGCACCTTCTTGAACTACAGAGCCAAACCCCTAAAGATGGGAGCCATCTTTCTGCAATGGGTTTACCTCCAGGATATACCTCTTGCTGGCCAATTTTGTTTGTTTGTTTTGTTTTTGGTGGGGGGGAGGTTAAATTTTAAGAAAGAACAGCTGACCACAACTCAGCATTTAGAATATTCTCCTCAGCGTTGTAACAGCTTCTGCAAGACCAAGAAAGTCTGGAATTCAAAACAAAAAACAAAACAAAAACAAAAAAAGGGGCACGGTGGTGACTATCTTTAATCTCAGCACCTGGGAGGAAGAGGCAGGTGAATCTCTGTGAGTTCAAGGCCAGCCTGGTCTACAGCTCCAAAGCTACAGAGAAACTCTTTCTTCAAAAATAACAAAAAGAGCTATTGGGACAAGCCTAAACTAAGGCCGAGCTTTCATAATTAATCATAAGTGTCCATGTCATGATTTGGGAGCTGGCGATCCAAGAAAGCCTGCTACACTCTGCCATGCCTGACTCATAAATTTAAAAATAAATAAGAAAAACAAAAAACCTCCTACAAGGCCTTGGTAACATCCCACCAGTAGAGCCAGTGTGGCCAGAACTTGAGGGAGGGCCCCAAAGATCTGGGGGTAACCCAGGAAAAACATCCTCACATATCTCCCTGACTCCCAGAGGAAGTACCTAACCAGACTAGCAGATGTATCTCCAAATCAGTGTATGAAGCACCTTGATATCTGTTCTGTGGTGACCCAAGATCCTGCCTGGCTAGTGCAGTCAATGCATGGTCTCTCTGAAGAAACACCAAGAAGATCTGTCACCAGTCTAGAGCCAGGAAGCTCAAATAAGTCAGCCCCTGGGCCAGAGAGGATGCCCTAGACTCCCCCTACTACTGCCTCCCCAACTTCAGCTCCTCCCCTGTCACCCTGCCTACTCCCAGTGACCTGTTATAAACAGAAAACTTTCCAGCCAGCCTCAGGTCACCTCCTGTTCTATGACTTTCTAGAGCTGTCACTGTATCAGCTGCCCACCACACTCTCAGAGACAGAATGGAGGCACCTGAACAAGAAGAGCCCACCTTCAAGGTACTAAGGGTGCTTGACACAGGCTCTGCTCTCTGTGCTCGTTCCGTTCCTGGGGTTGAATGGGGAACCCTTCATGATAATCAGGGAAGGTCATTTTCTTAGATAGGCTAGACTGAGGAGGGAACTAGCATGTCTCTCCAGACATTGTGTGGGGTAGCCCCCAGCATGGGTTGGTTGGCACCACTATGTGTCCAGGTGCAACACACCATGAAGTGAATTGTTCGTATGGAGCACAGCATAAATACATGGAACCAGGCAACAAAGAGGCCACCAAGGTCACATCTTTCACATACAAACACAAAGCTCACACAGAACAGGGGTCCGGCACCTTTTCTGTTCTATGGCACTTGTTGACTGAGAGCTTGGTGGACACTAGGCATGTCTCCCAGTGCATACGAGCACACATAGGTATATACATAGATGTGTATGACTTCATATACATGCCAAGTGCTGGCATTTCAGTCCCTGCCATATAAAGGGCCTCTGGAATGTGTATTCAGGTTTGTCCCATGGCTCTCAAGATATGTACTTCTTCTGTGCCAATGCCACCACCCACAGTTCTATCCCCCTTGTCTGTTCCCGCCAGAACCTAAGTAAGACAGCATCCTGGAGGATGCTTCTCCCAGGTGCCCTGAGGATGCTCTACTGGCAGCTTGTGCTTCTATTAAAGCAGTATTGGAGCTACCCAGACACCATGACAGTGTCCATGCACTGAGTGCGAACTCTTCCCATCTGTCACTTTATGTGACATGAACCCACATTGGTGAGGGTCTGGGTGTTGTCAGCCTTGGGTATGGGCTCCCCAACATTTATTTCAGCCTAGAATGTCTTCCTAGGTTTGGTCTTGGATGATACCTCATGATTTCATTTCTCCTAATCCGTGTACCTACTCAGATCTCTGAGTCACTAAAGGAACAACCAGACACTACTAGGAGCTCAGGGTTATGAGGTGAAAGGGAACTTCATAAGTCAGTCTGAGCTAGGTTGCAGGGCACCT